TATTGAGTGATCTCTAGAATATTTGCTGCCTACCGGAATACCAAACCAGGATACATATCAAATAAGAGTCTTCATACCCTCACGGTTATACCAGAGGAAGGCATGTAGGTTTAAAAGCCTGGTCTGCGATACTACTTTGATATAAAAAATTGTCACTATCTTTTTGTCTTATGGTTTAATATCATCTGTGTTCACAGGCGTTCCTGGTGTCAGCATTGCCTATAAAGAAGCAATCGCAGATACCACACAACCAGGCAAGCCAAACCAAGCATTAACCAGAGGCCATTTGAATCCCTCAGCGATAAATTCCTTCGACAAAAGATTCATGACCGCTACTTATACTTTTACAAATGCCGTACCTCAGTTTGCAGCGACGAACTTCTATTTGACGAATTTTGAGTCAAGAGTAGAAAATTATGCTAAGAACAACTGCGGCAGGAAAGATGGCACCCTTTACCTTTTGTCTGGCACATCAGAAAATGGCCTAATCATTAATCAAGAAGGAAAACCTGTTCAGGATCTTTCAAATCAAATTCCTAAACCCTATCAGAGGGATACATTTGTGCAAGGTACAATAAAACTTGTAACTCCTCGTTCTACTTGGACAGCTGGTTGCTGTATATGGAAGAAACCAGGTGAGGCGAGAAGAGCAGAATCTTTTGCAGTGATGAGCAACAATCAAAACAAAAGAACGAAGGTTCTCCTAACAGAAATGAGAGTGCTCGACTTAGAGGAGCTCCTAAAGACACCACCATCAGCAGCAGTGAATTTGTTCCCAGGGGAAGAGGAATGTAGACGACCTGAAAACAATATACCACTTTAAAAAGAATGGAAAGAATGAAAAGAAGAGGAAACAGACTGTTTAGAGTCAAGTAATTTAGTTAATGTTCCTCCTTTCTGTCATATATGTATTTCCGTGATGCTAAAAAAAATAAACTTTCAAATCTATTTATGACAAATGGTCTTTCTATTGGACTAGGAAAATATTGCGTTGGCAACAAGACATCGAGATGATAACGACAGATCATAAGAAAAACTTTAGAACTGTACTGCTTTTTACGTTCGGACAGCTATGGAGAATTTTAGATCAGATTTCCAGATGACTCTTATCCTTGCCAATCCACCCTAATCAAATCCTATCAACTCCAGTTCATTACAATCCTCCCAGACTCACTCCAATCCACAATAGTCAGGACCAATTTTCTCCAATCTATCTTAATCCACGCATATTTACCCCAGCTATGATGAAAAAAAAGAAACAATATATGACAAGCCAAAGTAAGGTCTGTATAGCATATATGGGTGCATATCTCGTTGAAATATTGCGTTCCCGTCAAAATCGCTCAAAACAAATACCTGTCTGAAGGTTCTAATGGCAAAGTATTTCCTCTTCACTTTCGACCAGATCACGTCCTTTTTTCATTGAACTTAGTTTCCTGCTTTGTTTCATGGCAAAAATATGGGAGAAGAGAATCTGTATGAAGTTCGAAATAATGCAATTAATTAAGTTCAAACTTAAGTCATATTTGAATTTCATCAGTCCTCAAGTTTAGAGCAACGTACTATATTTTGGTGGTACATTTTAAGTTTTTGATATAAACATTTTCCGACAAAGTATATGAAAGACAATCAGGTAAAATAACTGACACTAAGTACTCTCGTCTATTCTTATTTTTGTTTTGAGACAATGGAAATCACAAGATGAAAACGTATCAAAAACATGAAATTAAACTATTGGTAGAGGTTGCCCACAGGTAATATAACCAAGCATCAATTCCAAACTGATTGATAGAGAATTGTAAATTGATAAAAAATAATAGAGGAAAAATAAATAATCGGGTACAAAACAAAAATATCACATGCCACGTTGGCTCGCTCACTCCTCAGAAACAAGTTTAAAAAGATCAGTACAACTGAAACAAAATATGTCGAACCAACTTTGTGATCAATGTTCAAAAGTACGACGGATACGCATTTGGCGACGACAGGAATCTTTTCAGGGGATGTCATTTAAAGCTTCTGGCGATGCTAGGATATTCTTATCACATGCTGAGTTATCAACCGCTGGGAACAATTGTGAACTTTTCCATTGTGTTTTTTTGCTCACCAAAGGCCGCTATGAAAGGAAATTCTACCTGAGCCCTTGTTCCACGTTTCTGAACTTTTTTGTGCTTTTCCATGCTGTAGGTCACAATTTTGAAAGTAGAAGATTTGCCTAACAATGGATGACTTTGGATTTTCGTTATTCGCTGCCTCTTCAGCTCCCAGAGCTTTAATAACTTGAGCATGACCAAACCTTTCATCTCCAAGCAATCGGGAACCGTTCTTCTTCTTCTTCTTCTTGAAAATTGGCAGGCAGCGAAACATTCTAGACTTTTTTTAACGTGTTTAATGATGGGTGCTCTTGATTTGCTGAATACAGTTAAGTAATCGATGACGATAAGAATGTTTTCAGCAACAGTGACTATGCAACACTGGTGATATGGTTTTAACCACAGGTGGCCCAAGCTCTGTCACAGGCTCTTTCACAGTGAATAATTAAAGACTTTGTATAGTGGTTTAGTTGGACTTGCTTTTCAGCTCCGTAAATGTAAAGCTGTGTGAAATAATCAAAGAAATAAAGTCTTACCTTCGTAGAGAGTAGTCTGTGTTATTCTCCTCGCGATTTGAGGCCGTTTTGATGTGTTTTAGCTTGACGCCCTAAATTACCGTGCATAAAATACGGGAAGGTCGGAAACTTCTGTTGACACATGCTCGCCAAAATCGCTCGAAAACAACACTTAAATACTTTCCCTCAAATCAAAACTCGGCAGCACGAAAGCCAAATAGTTTCCCTTTAAGTTCACCGAATAAAATCC